ATCATAGGCCTGAAAGTGTTAGAGAGGAGGAGGGAGTGGGGGGGTGAGGGCCAAAATGAGGAGTGGCATGAAGAGGAATTAATCGAATCTACCAGCAGAATCAGATCTTCCCCTCTGAAAGGAGATAGTCCCACTAGAATGAGGACCATTACCATATTCATCACCTAATATTGCCTGCTGTATATGCAAAGTGGGAGAGAAGAGTGCGATATGACTTTCTTGACCACCTTTCTAATTCCATCTGTGAAAGCTTGCAGACTTATTTTTTAATTGTTTGTTTGCAACAAGTCCACTTAGTACCTGCTTTGCTGGGATGCTGCCATTTGTTAGGGAGTTGTAATAATAACCCATTAAATTCCCTGTCAAAGATCGCACTGATATTTATATATATGTGGTTGTTATGCTGCCATGCTGAATCACATTATTGTTTTGTTACAGTAACTATTGGGCCCATTACTCTCTGCCTCACACACAGGCCGGTAGATTTAATTGCAGTGATGTTGCAGGCGAGGCGAGCAGCTGGATTGGAGAGTTTTAACAGTGATATCAATAACGGAGCGCCACCTTAGGCCGATATAATTTTCCATCTCTCCTGACAGAGCGGAAGATAGAAATAATCAGTCACAACACCAGCCAAGCAGCCTGTAGGACCTCGTGTGACATCCAGAGACACTGATGGCTCAGGATCCATCTGTGTCCAGGGGGCAATGCTCAGTGTGTGTGTGTGTGTGTGTGTGTGTGTGTGTGTGTGTTTGTTTGTATGTGTGAGGATAATTGGTGAGAAGATGTTGGATCCTATAAGAAGAGGAAATCTGTTACACTGCTCAAAGGCTTATACAGTAGATACGAAAAATGAGGTGGCCTATACATGTGTTCATATGAACAACAACATTTTCTGTGCTGTCTAAAAAATATGGTCAGTGTTTGCATTGGATAACTAATGTTTATATCCAACACTTACTTAACTATGCTGTCTTGTTTTCGGGGATAGGAGGAGTCATAAAATGATCTGCTGTAAGAACACGACAAGATAGAAATTCTTCTTTCAAAAAGAAAAATGTACTTCTGTTCCCTTTTTACTTTTGGTATCTGGGCGCAAGTATAGCCAATATGTCTACATAATGAATGCAGGACATGCTTTTCAACACACTCTCTTTAACGTTTTTCCTCTGTCTTAATACGTTTCAAGCTTCCACCCAGAGAGACAGAGAGAATGTAATAACAACAAGGAGACAGTCTTTGAAAACTGCTCAAATTTTGGCCAAAAATCCATAACAGGAATTAACAACAATCAATGATGCAGCTTTTTTCAGCCATGAAACGTGTAGATTTGCATCACATTCACAGATTCCAATTTCTTTCAGATTTTTTGAAATGTTTCCAAAGCTTTTACCCTGTACAGATATCAAAGTCAGCATGAGTGTAATTCCCCAAGCCAACATTTGAAGGTAAAGTCTCTAACTGGGGCCAATCCTCGTTAAAAATGTGTTCTGTGCAGACCTGCAACAGACTGCAGACTGACTCTTGAACCCTAAACAGCTGAGAGAACACCATCTACAGCGCAGACAAGTCAGCCAACCTGCAATTTGTTATGCATTGGGAAATTCAATAGTTCCTTTTTATGACATGACTTACATTTAAAAAGTGATTTTTCTAGTAAAAGTAAACCACTTGAAGGTTATAATTCCTAGTTCTATTGCTGGATTCAAGTTTCTAAATAGAAGAAAAATTACATACTCATACATAAGATAAACCTTTAAATTCATTGTTTTTTTTATTTGTCTTGTCTCTCACTACCTTAGGGCACATGGATTATCTACTATCTATGTGACTGGCCTCCACGGAGGCCTGTAGTAAATTAGTTAGACAGATTTCATTGCTATAACTAAGTAGACTGATTATTTATTTATTTAAAGTACTTTGATTTGAGAGAATAAAATGCATTAACTCTACAGGCTGCCCGATTTTGGAAGCTTTGCATTTGCTGACATCTAGTGGCAAATATGTGGGAAGTAAATGTTTATTTCTCAATATCGATCTGGAGAATCTTGTCTGCACCACAGATGTAATCAGTACATTTGTGATCATTCATTGTAAATGTCATGGTGTATAATTATTACTTATGTGCTTTTATAAGTCCAGCAAAACAAGTTAATTTGCAAATGCAACGTCCATTTAAAAAAAATACTATAATAGTAATTATTTAATAATTAAATCTGTAAAAATATTATTTTATCTGGTGGTTTCCATTTTTGCCCCAAAACAAACAACACTGTCTGTTTTCAGATCATCATTTAAATGCTAAAGTCCACATCAGAAACACCACCAGACTCATTATTTCACATTAAATCCCAAGACATATCCTCTTACGGTGTATAGTGAACTATTTGTTCTGAATATTTATTTCAAATTTAAATGTATTAGTAAACCAACTATCACTCCTAAATTTCATTTTTTGTTTTATTTCAAGTATGTTATATCTCTAAATTCAATCAATATATTCAAGAGGTCAGTTGAGTAATACCCAAGATGTAAATTATTCATGCACATGTCAGATATTAATTTGTTTATTTGCACACAGAAGGACAGCACTGCTGTGAGTCACATTAGAAAACAACCTGTGCAGAATGCAATGAAAAGAAAGAGGGAGGGAAGAGCTTTGAGATGGGGGAGTGACAGAGACAGGTAGAGGGAGGAAGAACTGGAGGCTGCAGGACAGAGCACAGAGAGCAGCTGAGGAAGACGCACACACCTGGAATTCAGGTAGGACACCTTTAACTTTGTTTTTTTTATGCTTTTTTGCATGTGCATTTAATAATTACATTTTGCAGCTTTGGTATAAGCATTTGTACTCATGGTGTAAGATTAAAAATAATAAAGTCTTTGTTTGAGGTCATTTTCTGCCTACAGATTTCATTTTGTTTACTGAATTAGGTATGTTTCATTTAAAGTTTCAAAAGAGGAATTTACCTGTGAGCTTTATGCTCTGTAACCTGCGGTGAATGGGTCCATTGTTTAGTTTTTGTACGCTGGAATGCTCCTGAACATCCTGCGTAATGCTCTCAATTATGAATGGTATCATTTATTCTATAGTCTCAGCACCTCAGCAAATGCTTTCCGGTAACTTAGCAACTAGTGCTGCTCATTCAACATTAAAGTGTAACATGAGAGGACCCAGTGGCCTCACTCCAGGAGAGTGACAGGGATTTGTTACTGACACACAACCTAAATTTTCCCTCATTCCAACAAACAGATTGATGACTGTTTACTTGTTGACCCATCTGTGCGTGTGTAGTTTTAGTATTGAGAGTGTACTCTTATGTTTTCCAAGGTCTACTGCTCCTAATTTCTCTGTGAAAATATTTTTTTAAAAACAAAATGTCACCTGCAGATTTTTAACATCTTTAAACATGGGAAAAAGATTTTATCTCTTGACACTCTGAGGTCACATGTTTCCAGGGGGACCTTGTTTCAAACATGCAGAGGTAAACTGACACCTCACCCTTTCTACCTCGCAAAAGCCTTGTTGCGCTCCAGGGGAGATAAAAGGCTATCCACTGTTAACATATTCATGCTGGTACCCACTGCCCACAATTGCCAACTCAAAATAGACTGACCCCTCTGCTGGCAGTGTCTCACATACCTTGTGTTGGTGGTGAAAGACAGAGTTCGGTTTCAATGCCTTGAGCAGATAAGCGCTGCTGTTTCTGCCAAAAGTGACAATGTGGGTCTGTGCTGCATTCAGAAGCATCTATTTGAGACTGTTGAGATTTCACAATGAGTAACATTAAGAGAAGTGACTTGGCAAATTAAGACTCCTGCCTCAACTTGGCAGTCAAAGACCATTCAGTGATCATCTAATGTAGGAAATAGCTATAAATACGGATTAAATTATATCATTTAGATTAAGTACAGCATTACTAGATAATTCAAGGCAAATGTTTGCTCAATAGAGATGTAGATTAGATGTGCTTTAGCAAACTGTTGATTAACATCCGATTTAGGGAATTTGTTGTTGTAGTAATCAGTGGCGGCCAACAGTGTTGAAGTATGAATACAGTGCTGACCTCAGGGAAACAGGACAGTGGTTAACTGAGAGCTCCTTAGAGTCTCATGAGAAACTGAATATTGTGTGGGCTAGATAAAGTTGCAACGAAAGGGAACCTGTGTCCCAGTTTTAAAACAGCAACTGAAATGTACATAAGTCCTCATAGGGTTTGTCTGATACACAGGTGAGGAAATGACTGATGTTCTGAGCCAAGATCTTCTTATCGCATACAGTCCTTATTTTCAAATGAATTCAAATTGATTCGGCCTTTGTTGATGTTGTCCAGTGTCACTTTTTTCCAAAACTGAACATGTTGATTTGAGATTAAATGCTTTAGTTGTTAGTTGCTTTTAAAAAAGTACATCTGTGTAAGTTGTAAAACACTTAAATGCTTTGTTGCAAGGGCTGTGCCTTTTCTGTGTGTATGTTTAACTTTCACAGTTTTTAATGCCATGGTAACAGGGTTTTGATGACAACACATTTTTCTTCTGCATTTTCTCTTTGTCTTTACAGACATTCAAAAAGCAGTGAAAAGTGAAATCCCAAAGAGGATTGTTCATCAATCTACCATCCACAATGTTAATGCGGTCTCATTCGGAGAGAAGAGCCCTACTTGGGTTCTCAGCCCTGCTGACACCCAGCACTCCAATACAGAGAGATGTGACCTCCCCTCCTTCCTTATCCTTCACCCCACGGGACTCCATCTTTACACCCATATCTCTTACTTCACAGCCTCCCTGGGTGACACAGGCCCTTTCTAACCTGGAGAAAGGAGAACTAGAATTGCAGAGCCTCAGGGAGCGACAGCAGGCTGAAGTGGAGGAGGTGAACCGTGAATTGGACAATGCTGTGATTGAAGCTCAGAGAGAGGAGCGTCGCCTTCTTGAGAAGGTTGAGCAGGACCACAGAGATGCCCAGCGGCACCTTAGTCAGGTGAAGAGGGAGAATGCCGCAGCGGTGCGCGTTGTGCAGTCACTTGTTGACCAGCAACTTAGAAAAATAGGACAACTGAAGGAGCAGATACAAAGATTGGGCAGTACCGCTGGTGGATCCAACAAAAATCAGCTCCAAAGAGGAGTAGCAGAGGTCACCCAACCTTGGGAGATCTCTCTAACACTGAAAAGAGTCAGTTTCTTACCATACCCTCAGTCCAAGACGTCAAGCTTAGGGGAAGTTGATGTTCGTGAGCAAAGTATGACCTACCCAATTGGTGTCTGTGGTGTCCAAGGACAAAAGTGTGCCCTGCACTCAGGGGATACGACATTTTCAAACATTACCCCTCTTCAAATTCGAAATGAACCACAACCAAACAGAGCTGGCCAAAGGTACAGTCCAGAGGAGAACAGTAAGGCCAAAAGTGTTAACATGCGTGTTGTCCGGAAACTCCGTCTGTCAAGCTCTACAGAGAATGAGGACGAGCTCAAATCCCCCACCTTAAAGTCCCCCATACCAAGACATCGTGGTGTATCTGAGTCGTCCCAAGATGAGGAAGTGGAGTCTGTGTGTTCAGACACACAGGGGCAAGATCTTTTCCTTGCTATCCCACCAGTCTCTAGCCAAGGTGAATCTGAAGGGGATGAATCTGATGGGAGACAAAATGGAAAGAAGAGGCGCTCCACACTGAAGGGAAAGAGGAAGCAAAAAGCCCTCATGTTGGTCTCATGTGAAGAACCATCTTGCCCTCCTGAAGAAACCGATGAAAAAACCAATGATGTGGCAAAATCTCCAAAGACTAGGAGTAAAAGTTCTCTCTCCAGACACACTCTTGTAGATTTTCCTACTAGACATCATCCTCTTTCTCAACACACCCTATCCAAGAGAAAGACCTCAAATGAATTCTTAGTGGACAGTGGAAGCCCTCCATCCCCAGTGGACAGCGAGGACTCCTGTTACACCTATACTGTGAATACACCAGTCAATGGATCCCTCAACCAAGAGCACTGCCGCTCAATGTCCATTGCTGACCTCTCAGGTAAACTTCGCCCTTTGATTAACAGTGAAAAAGGTGAGTGTAGAGGAATCAGGAAGGTCAACAGAATGCGTCTGGCCTCGCAACCTTCAACTCTTGAACAAGACCAAGGAAATGGCACAGAATCTGACAGGAACACCACAAGTTTTGATGAACGACAATCAAGATCGCAGACTGTTACACTGGGTGTACGCTTTAACCATGTGAGCAGATCTCTGTCAATGTCAGCTATTGAAGGAGACAAATTACAGCAGAGGGAATCACAGCAATACAACAAGGACAAGAAAGAGAGAGGTGCGCCAGCTTTGAGGGAACTGGAGGAAGAGGCTGGTTCAACCGCGCTTGACTCGGCTTATCTGGTCAAACAGTTTGGAAAACAAGGATCAGGCCGCACTGACTTTAACCTACCAAGTGGTGTCCATGCTACTGTCAAAGGGCAGCTATTTGTGGTGGATTGTGGAAATGCCCGGATTCAGGTAACTGATCTCCAGAAGAATGTTGTACAGCAGGTGTCTCCATCGGGATCAGAAAGGTCTTCTCGCATCTGCAACTACTTTGATGTGGCTGTAAATTCAAAGGGCCTCATTGCCCTGACCTGTGCTGCTGAACGAGCTGTGTTGGTGTTCAGCCGTCATGGGCGTCTCCTGCAGACGTTTGGAGGCACATTGACTGGTTCTGCCAATGAAGAGTTGGATGCTCCTAGAGGGGTGACTGTTACCCGTCAGGATGAGTTCTTGGTCGCTGACCTCAAGCGTGGCACCCTGACGTCCTTAAAGCTGGACCCCAAAACAGGGGCCAGATTGGAGCGGACAGTGGTGACCGGGTACCACAGACCCTACCTGGTGGCAGCCTGTCTCACCACTGGGCTCATGGCAGTATCTGAACGAGGAAATGAGACTGGGCGTGTCCCATGCATTCGAGTCCTGGAGCCTGGCTGGAACACTATCCGAATCCTTGGGGTGTGCTCTGGCCTGGGGCCTGTTCTGACCTGCCCTTGGGGCCTCTGCATCGACAGCGATGGGGATGTCCTGGTGGCAGACTGGGGCAAGCAGCGCCACAGTGTTTTTTTTTACCCGTCCAAAGGAGTTGGCTGGCCTCTGATAACCGATAACCTGAGTAGTCCAAGGGGCCTGGCACTGGTCCCCGATGGCCACATGGTTGTGTCAGACAGCATGAATCATTGTATCAAGATCTATCGTTACAAATAAACTACAGAGGATGACTAAGGCACAGATAGATTGCTGTGAGAAACTGAGAGGGTTAAATCTGTAATAGCAGGCAATAACCTTGGGTATGTATAATTTGGGGTTCGGTTTAATTTTAAATGATCATGTCTGATGAGATTTCAAAAGGGAGATAAAAAAGAAAGCCTTTTTCATTATGATAATCAGTAGAAGCAAGGCCAGCGTAGAAAAAAATACAAATGCATGCTTTTGAATTACTCTTGAGTGTTTCTAATGTTTTTTTTTCTCAATTAATCTATAGTACAGAATGGTAGCCCATAATTCTGTATGTCTGAATGATATTGAATACAATTTTAAGAAGTATGCTCATATTGTAAAACATTTAATGAATCAATAATCAAGACCAACCAACTATCAGTGCAATCAGCAAGATAAACACTTTAGTTGACTTAAGCTTGGGAGGGCTAATGATTTTTGTACTGTCAATTTGTCTGAGTAAAAGGAATTAAACTCTGAATTACATCTAATTTTGCCTGATTTTGTTGTTTCTGGGGCTACTGCCTGACCTTACCTTACCATGCAGCCTCAAAATCTGTACATCAGCTTTTGGGTATATCTCTGGTGACAAAGTTTGCACAAAAACGTCATCACCAAATAAAAAAGGGAACAACCAAGGCTTACTGATCCTGTTTTGAAGAACATGTAATTATCACGCACAGTTAGAAATGGTAAAAGGATAAAACACACATAAAAAGGTAACTTTTGCTTCATTCCAAGTAGATTTCCTCAAGAGTTAAAACCGCTTTATTAACATATATTTATGTTATAGATACATATATAGATATATGTGTATATTGGGATCAAGGTTAATACTGACAGTATTGAACATAGCTTGTGCTGCACACAATACTGATAAATATAAAAGAAAATAAAGATATCACCAATTGAGTAAATTGCAATGTGTGATCGTAAATGGTCATGATAAAGCCTTATTTTGCAAGAACAAAAATTCACCCTGTCTACACAAACACACACACAGTTTCCTAACTTGTCCACCCACACACACATTTCAGTATAAAAGTGCATGTTCAGCTCCTGCGCAGCTACGTCTCCGCTCCACTGTGAGACTGCACATCAGACGACTTCATCAGGACTGCACAGCATGGAGCTCTTCACCAAAACTCTGTTTCTGTGTTTTGCACTTGCCCTCGCTAATGGAGCACCTGCGTGAGTATTAATGAATTCCTCTATCTTGTAATTAAATTAACACTCAAAACAGGTCTTTCAGGTCAGGATGTATCATTCTTAGTACCCTGATTTTTCACTGCTGACACTGTGTGCATGTTTCAAGAGGTTTTCTAACCCTTGAAAAAAAAGAGCTCTGTGGGTGCAGGTTATTTAGGCAAAAGACCCAAAACATAAATGACCCGTGTTTGTTTGATTCAGTTTCCTACATACTTTTCTGTTCTGTAGTATAGCAACACATAAGTCTTTCTGCCACAGACTTATCCAGCCCTGCGCCTTAAAGCACCTAGGAGGCTCATTTGTGCCATCTTCCATCAGACTCCATAGCACCCAACATCTCCCTTCTCCTCTGTGCTGCTGTGCCAATTCTAATTTCCCCAATTGGGGATAAATATCTTATCTTATATAAATAAATACAGGGGGTAGGAAAAAAATAACACAATATCTTATAATATAATGCAGACCAATACAATGGCCCTCTCAATGGTACATTTCTGAGGCTGTACTTTTTGATGCATTGCATTGCACAAGTCACAAGTTAATTGTAATTTCACAACTCTAAACGCAACTATTTGCTAGTTCACAAAGTTCACCTTTTAGATCAATTGAACAAATACAGGAGTGCAAAGTCATCGTATTTCCTTGGTGGTTTGTTACTGATTGACCCCCTATCATCATGACTCAAGGATTTTTGGAAATGAACTGAAACATGGTGCTATGCTGAACTGCAGAAAAATAAGGATCTTTGTTTGTCATCTGCAGGCACCCACAAGATGCATCAGTAGACGGTGGGTTTTTGATGAACATATTAATAAATAACAAAAAGTGCTTTCTCACTGGTTTGTTACATAGTAGCATCATTTTCTGTATTTATGCATATAATTATGTTATGTTTCTTACTGTGAAATAAAGGTGGAGTTGCTCTCCCAGACCGGTGTGAAGGTATTGAGTTTGATGCCATCACTCCTGATGAGAAAGGAAACACTTTCTTCTTCAAAGGTGTGGAACATTTCTTAGTCTCACTTATTACATGATGGACTTTATTTACTCATGCGGTTATTTAAGTTCAATTTAATGTTTTTCCAAACTGAATATATATTGCAGTGTAATGAAACTCTGATGTTAACCCTCAGGTGCCCACTTGTGGAAGGGTTTCCGTGGTCAAGCTCAGCTCTCCAATGAGTACTTCAAGGAGCTGGATGACATCCATCACATTGGCCATGTCGACGCTGCCTTCCGCATGCACAACACAGAGAACCCAGGCAATCACGATCACATCTACTTCTTCCTGGTATGATCCACAGATTCTTTTATTTGCGATATGATTGTGTTAAAAATATAGATTGAGAAGAAGTTTTTTTCAAATCTAATTTTCTGATGTAATGTCCAGGATGACAAGGTGTTCAGCTATTATAACTACACCCTTGAAGACGGGTATCCAAAAGAGATCCAGGAGGACTTCCCAGGAGTCCCTACTCACCTGGATGCTGCTGTGGAGTGTCCCAAAGGAGAATGCACGGCCGACTCAGTTCTATTTTTTAAGGGTATGTTGGTATTCACAGCAAAAATATTCATCTCATTAAGTCCAATCTATAATTAAGCAGTGAAATAATGTTTTCCCTTAACAAATGACAATGTTTGATAGAAAAACAGTGGATTATCTCAGTATTATAAAGATAATGCTGCTCTCTAGTGGAGAAAAAAAGTTGCAGCAGGAGTGCATTATGTCCTTTAAGCGTACCAATCCACGTTGCAGGTTAGCCACATGTGAGTAAATGATTGTAAAATTAACTGTGATATGATTAGGCAACTGTAAATTAACGAGCATATGGTGAAGCTAATTGGTAACCATTTGCTCCCATAGGACATGATGTGCATGTTTATGATGTTACCACAAAGACAGTGAAGACTAAGACGTGGCCCCACCTGCCTGCCTGCACCTCTGCTTTCCACTGGCTGGAGCACCACTACTGCTTCCATGGACACAACTTCACCAGGTTCAACCCGGTAACTGGAGAGGTGGGCAGTTCCTACCCAAAAGATGCCCGCCATTACTTCATGAAGTGTCCCAACTTTGGTGAGTTCATCAGGACAAGGACAGTCAAATTTTGTTTAAAGCTTATAATCGAAATTGAAACAGATCTATTTTGATAAAAGTATTTTCAGGTAAACGTGTAATATTCTGTGTTTGACTGCAGGTCACGGAGGTGATCATAAAGCCCTTAAATGCAGTGAGGTCAAACTAGATGCCGTCACAACTGACGATGCAGGCAAAACTTACTTCTTTGCAGGTAAAGTCAAACGTAACTGGCCTTTAAAGGAATAGTTCAACATTTTGGGAAATGCAGTACTTGTTTTCTTGCTGAGAGTTTGGTACATGAAGCATGAAGCTAGAGCCAGAAGGTGATTAGCTTTGCTTAACATAAAGACTGGAAGAAACAGCAGCATCTTAGCAATGTGAGCATGTGAGCTGAGCATGAGGCAATGCCCTGCTGGCTCTAGCTTCATCCTTAACACACATATAAGTGGTATTGATCTTCTCATCTCTCACCAAGAAAGCCAAGAAGCATATCTCTTAATATGTATTTTTCCAAACTTTGATAATTTCTTTCGAGCTTGCTGTAAAGCTTTCACTAAGACTACAGTTCAATCTGCTCAGGCCCCAACTACATGCGTCTGGACACTCGTCGTGACGGCCTTCACACCTTCCCAATCACCAGGGCCTGGAAGGAGGTGACCGGCAGTGTGGACGCTGTCTTTTCCTACACTGATAAAACGTACTTGATTAAGGTAACCTTGATTCTTCTCCTTCTCTTCTCTCTGACATAGCAGTGCTAAATTCCACATATGTACATATTATTATTTTATTTATTATATTAAATTATATGATTATTAGCATTATTGTTGTATGTCTCTGGTAACAAATTTCCCTCTGTATTGAAATTAAAACTAAAATCCCTCCTGTTCTGCCAACACCTGCAGGATAATCAGGTTTACATCTATAAAGCAGCTGCTCACTCCAGCCTGATTGAAGGCTACCCTAAAACCCTGAAGGAGGAGCTCGGCATTGAAGGACAGGTGGATGCTGCTTTCCTCTGTCCTGGTGAACACACAGTTCATATAATCCAAGGTAAGGTTCCTGAGTGCTTATTTCTCATTTTTTGGATAATTTTTGAACTTTTGAAACTTGTTTGCGCACAAGTGATTGACGAACATCTTTACACACATACTTCTTCCAACAGGACAGAGGGTTCGTGACGTCGACCTAACCGCCACGCCCAGGGCCGTGACCCGAGATTTGCCCCTGCCCTTATCCGACATCGATGCCGCTCTCTGCGGTCCAGATGGAGTTAATTTGTTCAAGGGCTCGCAGTATTACCACTACGAAAGCCCCACGACACTGATTATGAGCAGGATCGCCCCTTTTGCTCAAAATATTACCTCAGCAATGATGGGATGTCAGGATTAGGAATCAGTGAGAGAACATTTCATAGTTCATCCCTAAACAATACAGAGAGACAGCATTAGCACCAAACATCAACCTTTCTCACCACTCACACACACAGCGATTCAGACTGGATGAAAGGAAGTTAACTTTTGTTTGTTGAATAAAAAATGGGAAACTGCTCATCTGGAGTGTTATTTTGTTCATTTCGGTGATTATCATGAAAACAGTTGTATGTCATGTAAAATTTTGGTTTATAGCCTATGTTTTGAATTTGGAGACTGACTGGAACCAGTTATGAAGAACTAAATCGAGTGCCCCATCGAAGCCAATATTAAGTAATGTCAGAGTTTGGCCACTAGAGGACCTACTGTACAAATGAATTTGTCAGAAACCAGAGAATCCATTTGACCCCAACATTAAACAGCTGCAATAAATTAATACTGAGCTAGAGTGAATGCATCACCATTTTAATGGTATTAAGAAGCAGCCCCTGATCATGTCTTACATCTCTTTTTCTAAATATTTGTCAAAGTGCCATCTTTAACCAGGATGCCGGCACCCTAATGGGCATTTAAGTGGTATAAATGGCTCTTCTGTAGGCACAAGTGCCCTCCAAGAGTCATTGTGGTGACCCCAGATACCCCTCTGGTTAGCTTAAGGGCTGCTCTAGTGTGAAAATCAGGGTTACAGAAATAAATCCTTACCCTAACCCTGAACATAGAAGATGTGTCCAGTATATATTTTTAGAGACAGTGTAGACAGCGCAGATCCATCAGGACAGCATGACAGCATTGCAAAGCTACAGGCAACTGAGAGTCAAGTCAAATAATGCCCATATAACATAATTTGCACATGCAAGCAATGAGCTGTCTTGTAGCTCTGCCCAGTTATGTGTATATTGCAGCATCACTGTCTTTTGTGTGTTTTATTTGTAGTATTTCCTTCCGTCTTCTTGTGTGCTAAACGCAGTGTACTGAACTCACAGGTATACAAGCATAAATCAAAATTTAGAAGCAATATGCAACAAAAAACGTTTTTTAGCCACAAAGTTTGACAGCACAGAACAACTGAGAAATAAGTTGCAGAGTTGAGTTTCAGTGATATATAGCAACGGGTTGCAGGTGCAGATGCAAGCTCAGTAAAAGGTCTCCAGGCAGAAGACATCAGTTTAGAGGAATTGCTTTAACTTTATTTCTTGCAAACAAGAGGTGGGATCAAAACTGTGAACAACCAATCTGACGCAGACAAATATCCTTCAGATATCAAGGTTGACCTCGCAAGCAGTAGTGCTGCATAAAACACAAGAGGCTTCATAGTCGAGAGTAAAACACTTGTCCAGCTGAGCCACACATGAATCACAGACAGATTTGCTCTCAATAAAAACAGAACATTTCTTGATGCCACCAACAAAATATAGTTAAACATTCACATGTTCTTACTGGATGAATGAGATTGTTAGTGGTAGCTTGTTTCAAGTCCATGCTATTTTTTGTTTTAAATCAAACAAGCATTCAGGAATGAAGCTTATGTGTTTTTTAGGCTAAGGCTATGTGGTACATTGCTTTATTATTAGCTTATCTGCATGTCTGTGTGCTGTGTCTATATATTCTGTTTAAAATAAAAAAGATAATTTTCTATTTATTTGTAATTTATTATCAAAATTAAAACTTAAAGTAATGTTCTCTTTGTAAAATTCTATGTAACTTCAAAGTCAAGCTTTCCATTGCCAACATCCAAAAGTCATAACTTCTACGGCCAATGTTTATAAAACACGAGGTTATATTTTTTAAGAGTCCTCGTCTTTGTCACTATTACAATATACAGTATGTAAACAAACGGTTCATGCTCATATTGGACCATATGGACACGTACGCAGCAATGTGCAAGAGTCCAGAGGTCGGGACAGCATTAGCAGGCATTCAAGGCCTTTTCACTGCCTGGAGAGGTTTTTGTTCAGCCAAAATCCCTGGGACTTTCAGCAAATATAAAGGAAGTGCTGGCCTCAGCACAGCTTAATGGGTGAGGCCATAAGGACACACACACACACACACACACACACACACACACACACACACACACACACACACGTGCACATAAAAACACCACCGGATATACACACATGCACAGACAGAACAATTTTCATGGCACACACACATACACATCCAACCAACCAACCAACCAACCACCCACACCCACCCACCCACACGCACTCTTCCAACTATCAAGTAATATTAATAAGTGGACATGCACTACTGCTAAAATAATTAACATGCAATCTTTCATTTATTTCATGTCCTTTTGTTTTCCTGAAGGAAAAAAATGCCAGCAGCGTGTTTAAAACGTTATTTCCAGATAATATACAGTAACTTACTTTAGGTCAGACAGAGTGTATGGTGGCTGGTAGGGACAAAGTTTGAGGTCAATCAAAAACAAAAGCTTGCACATGCTGAGATGTTTAACTGTTCATTCCCAGAAAATACTAGTGTTGTCAGACTATTTTTACTGGCATCTGGAACTCAGGAAGCTGTGA